TTTCCACAGTACATTGAGGGGAAACAGGGCCATTTCTTCATCTGCTGAAGGGATGAGAAGAGGGGGAGCAGGTGCTGTGGCCCCAGAGCTTCTCTCTGCTTTGGGGACACTTCTGTGTTTTCCTCTGTCCATTGAATTCCCAACAAAGAAGGAAAAAGCTACAGGAACTCCAGTCTGGAGTGCTCAGGACATGTGGAAGCAGGGGAATTTTTCTTCCCAGCTGGGATTGAGAGTGCAATTTCACACTCCTTTGGAGAGCATTAACTGAGACATCCCATTTCTGCCCAGGGATCTTCCAGGGGGAACTCAATCCGGGCTCTGGGCAGGTCCCTGCAGGGGCAGCAGCTTCCTCTGCACATTTGAGGGGATAAAGCTGCTCTAAACCTGCACTCCAACCACTCCACAGCAATTTAGGACCTCTGAGGACAGTTCCCCACTGTTTCCACCCCAGCAGAGACCTGAACACATCCCATGGGCACTGTGTGACCACCCCTGGCATTAATGAGGACACTGACTGTAAAGACACTTGTCTACCTGTAAACCTCCACTTTCTTTGCTACTATACAGCAATAACATTTTCTATTCATATTGCAGCTACAGACTTAACAAATAGAATTGCATATATTGTGCTTTAGAAATTAAAATGCACTCCAAAGTCAGGCAATGCTAAACAATGAAAGTCTTGAACCCTCCCCCCCAAACCAGCCCCACTTTCTGGTTTCAGAACCAGCCCACTTCCTCACTCTCTTCACAAAGGGAGAAACCTCATGTTTCCACCTCTGAAACAAAAACTCCCTCCCCAAAAGTGATCAGAAAGAGTCTACTTAGGCACTACTGCAAATGGAAGTTGTCTAATAACCATTCCTTCTAACTCAGGAAGGGGAGGAGGTGAAGAAAATCACAACAAATGTTTGGAATCCTTCCTCTTCGACGTCTTCTCTTCCCTATCTGACACTCTGGGACATGTGCAGGGGGGTCAGCATCTCTTCATAGATGGCTCCTTTCACATCAGAGCCCCTCAAATTGGCTTCCTGGAGGTCACAACCTGATAGGTCACAATTCGGAAGGGGAAAAGAAAAAGAAGTGTCAATGGAATGCACCCAGAACTCTGTTCAAAGCTTTACTGGAAGTCCATTTATCTGAACTCCATTGTAGGCTGAAGCTGGAGAGGTCAGCCAAAAGCCAGCAATCCCCCAAATTCCCAGCTGACTAGAGGAGAGAAAGGAACAGGATGGAAAATGAATCCCAACTCACTTCCCAATCAGTTCCTGCCAACGTTGCTCCCCTGAGGTTACAGTTCTTTAGTTTGGCATTTTTCACCTTTGCAACTCGGAGGGTAATTCCTGTCATCTGACTGCCCTCCATGGCCACTCCTTTCAGGCTGGCACCTGGAACACACACAGAAAGGAGTTCTGTGAGGAAAACCAGGCAGAAACACAGCAGCTCCACACTGGTGCTGCCTCAGAGCTGTGTGAATTGGAGGAGGACGAGGGGATTTGGGGCTGAGATGGTCACAGACTCAGTGCAGCCCTTGTGGGCCCTTCTCAGGGTTGGACAAACCACAGCTGGACCTTTTCTGGGCCATGGAAATGCACAAACACAGGCTTCAGTTGGCACAGATTGACAAGGCAAAAGCTTCTCACCTTCCAGATTAGCTTGAAGGCCTGATGGGTCCTCAGAGTCGCAGCCTTTCAGGGACGCTCCCCCTGCGCTGGAGCGCAGCATCTTCACCCCTGGCAGGTTGGCACACTGGCACAGACAGGAGTCACTGAGGGCCGGAAGAACAACACCAAAGACAGTCAAGAAGACAGTTTTAATTTCTGCTTTGGGAGTCAATCCCATCAAATCATTACTGGGAGGAAGTGTAAAAGCTTTGGGAACCACAACAACTCTAGAATATATTTAAGAACTCGATATTTTACACCGCTCTGTTTGTTCCAGCTGCTCTCTGTTAACACAAGCCCAGCCCTCCCAAGCTGCAGCAGCTCTTCCATCCAGCACAGAGCCTGACAGGTCAGCCCTCCCCAGGCTGGCACAGCACAGGTTGGCACGGGCCAGGTTGCAGTGGCTCAGATTGGCCACCTTGAAGTTGATGCAGCAAAGATCCAGGTGGGAAAGATCCGCTCCACTGAAACTGAGACCCTGGAAATCCCGAGGAATAAACCCCCCAAAAGGGTTACAGAGGGGAAGGGGTAGGTCTGGACACAAAGTTAACATCATTGTGTAGATATGTGTATGTTAATATTTACAAAGTATATGTATAAATATATGGATAGAAATGTATTAAAATATATGCTGTCTATAAATATACACAGATACAAGATAGATACAGACACACACAGGGCCTGGGAGGAGCTGAAGACACCCCACCAGGGAAGGGGGCTTATAAAAAGGAGGGAGAGGGACTTTTTCTATGGGCCTGGAGGGACAGGACAAGGGGCAATGGTTTTTCAACTGAAAGAGGGCAGGGTTAGATGGGAGACTGGGAAGAAATCCTTCCCTGGGAGGGTGGGGAGGGGCAGGGATGGAATTCCCAGAGAACCTGTGGCTGCCCCTGGATCCCTGCAAGTTTCCAAGGACAGGCTGGATCAACCTGCTCTAGTGGAAGGTGTCCCTGCCCATGGCAGGGGGTGGAATGAGAAGACCTTTAAGGTCCCTTCCAACCCAAACCAGTCCATGATTCTATACAGACAAATACACACAAGACCATTTATTCTACTACTTAAGACTAATGAAATCTAAATGCAAAGCTCTCAAAAATTGTCTTTGGTTCATTTTACATTTCAACAAACTGCTCCTCCAGGAAAGCTTCCCCCTAAAGCAGGAATGCAGCCCAAACCACCCTGGAATTCCAAGTCAAGGTCACTGTGCCACAGCTCAGAATCCAAACTCAGTTCAAGAGAACACATTGTTTGCATTTCACGTTGCCACATTCCAGCACCAGGCACCAACACTCCAGAGAGGGACAGCACAAGGGGCAGTGGGTTTAATAGAAAAGAGGGAGGTTTAGAGGAGATGTTGGGAAGAAATCCCCAGAATTTTGTTAGAAAGAGAAATGTGTTCTCACCTGACAGCGCAGCTCGGACTTGGGGGGTGTTGCCAGCAGGAACCGGACAAACTCCTTCTGAGAGGTGGAACAGTGATCCTCAGCTGGCTGGGAATTCTGTTGGGAATGTTGTTCAACAGCTGACACAGACAGCACTAAATTACACATCCCCTGCAAGGGCAGGGCAGGTGCATTCAGGTCTTCAAACAAATTACCTTCATGGCTATTTCCAGGTGTTTGATTAGTGAATCAACACCAAAAAACGTGGCTTCCTACAGGACACCTGGAAACAAAGAGTTTGTTATTTCCAGGGAACTGTGAATCCAGAAATCACCCTTCTCCCTGCTGGAGAACAACCACAGCCATTGTATTAGATGTAACTGGGCAGAGGAAAAGCTTGCTTGCAGCTAAAAGGAAAAAAATCACTCAGCCAGGCTGTTTGCAACACCAGCATTGGGTTAAAGGTGTCAGCTCCAGAATTCCAGCCAGACATGACTCCAGGATGGACAACTTTTAATGCTCCCAAGATAAACAAAGAGCCTGTTTTCATTAAATGAAGCAATACCTTCATTAAATCAAGCAATACCTTCATTAAATCAAGCAATACCTTCATTAAATCAAGCAACGTGGAGCTGCAACGCTTGAGAATAGATCCCGAGGAAATAAACTCCAAAGAAAACTACAGAGATGAGCACACAAAGGTCCCTCTGGCTTCACCTGGAGGGCAAAGCTTAACTCCCAAAGAGGAATAATTCACATGTCTAACAGGTAATACCTACCTGGCAAATTAATGCCATCATTTACAATGAGCTGTCCGTGACGTAAATAGTTCAAAATGGGCTGTGGTCAGTTAGGAATGCTCCTCTATGATCCTGCTTGTTCCCCCAAGCATCTCTTTCCACAACAGATATATATATATATATATGTATGTATACATATATATAATTAAATTGGATCTATTAATATATAGAATTAAAATTGATCTATTAATAGAAGACCATTTGCTTCACTTGCAGAGTTTTATTACCAAAGGTGGCGGGACGTGAAAATTCCACGTGTGAAAGGGTGTTTAATAAAGGAGGGAAAAAAGGAGTGTATGTGTGTGGGGAAATCACCTTAAAATGAACTTGTTGCTGCTCTAAATAACTAAAATATTTTATCAAATGCATAAGAATTAAAGCAGCACTAAGGTTTGAGTCTGACTGTCTCCCAAAGGCTGCCCCGGGCAGTGTTTGCTCGTGGATTCTCCTGAGGAAACTGAGCAACAATAACGTGAAAACCTAAAATCAATCAAACAAACAAACAAAAAAGGACCCAAAATACTAACTGTGGAGGGAAGTTGTATTTTCACTTTGTGAGATAATAAACAGGTGGGCAACAGAGAAATAAAGAATTATTAAAAGAATAATTCTATCTTCTGCTTTGGTACTTTAATATACTTCTGATATTTTAGATTCCTTAGCTTGACAGTGCCTTTGGCCTACGTTGCTAATTTATTACTTGAAAAAAATAAAGTTTATTTCAATATACTCCCCTTTATCTTTAAACATGTGGGCCAACCTGCTGTCAGGTTCTTTGTTAACCAAAGTGCTTCTAGAAAACAAAGGTAGAGCAATTTCATTTTTACTTCATATAAAAAGTGTTTACAAATTGATTTCTTGCAAAACTGTGGTGGTGAACACAAAATACAGAGAAAGTGGCAGAAGTCAAAGACCTCCTACTTCATAAGAAGTTATTTTTCAAGCTCTTTTGCTGCACTGAAATCAATTCCCCCAAATAAGGAGCAAATCCCGATTAAGGATCAAATCCTGACTAAGGATCAGATCTTAATTAACAGCCAGATCCTAATTAATGATGGGACCCTAATTAGGGCTGGTAGGTGGGGCCTGGGGGGGTTCATCACCTTTGAAGCAGGTGATGAAGTTCTTCACTTTGGTGTCATCCAGGAAAAGCTGCAGAAAAGAGGGAAAAAGCCTCAAAACACTCAGGTCTATCCTGGGATCCGTTTGGGATCTGTTGAGATTAATTTGGGATCCATTTAGAATCTGCCTAGGGTGTATCCTGAGTCTGTTTGGGGCCTGTTTGAGGTCCATCCAGGATCCATCTGGGATCTCCCAGGGATCCATTTGGGATCTGCCCCACCCCTATAAACACCCAGATCCGTACAGCCGCCCCCCCCATATGGACACCCCCACTCCTATAGACACCCAGACCCCTATAGCCCCCCACCCCTATAGACCCTGAACTCCCCTTTAGACACCTCCACACCCCTATAGACACCCAGACCCCCCCCCAGCACCTCCCCAAGACCCTCAGACCCCCTATACCCCCCCTATAGACCCCACTCGCCCCTACAGCCACCCTCACACCCCTATAGACACCCCCACACCCCTGTAGACATGCAGACTCCCCCATAGATCCCATTCACCCCTATAGACACCCCCACACCTCACAGACCCTCCACACCCCATATATCCCCCTATAGCCACCCCTACAGACCCACCCCATAGTCA